AGGAATGAACACAAATAAAACTAGTTCCCCAGGATTTGGATACAGTGAACTATTTTTAATTTTTCTCATCTTGTTTTCTTGCAGACTAATCACAGTGCATCATTGTCATTTGGTTATTATCAATGTTTATCCAAATAATGTAGAATCACAAGTAACAGGTCATCCTCCAAAAGACGTAAGTATAGAATGGCTCTACGTAAACCCTTTCAAGTATGTACTGCAATATTTGTCTCAGTGATATGCTAATTTTATATGTCCCACTCACATTTTCCTAGATGGAATTGAATGAATAACATAATTGAATGCTTCAATATGAGACTAAATTAACATGTTAATAAAGATGCTCAAGTCTTTTAATTTAATTTCTTAAGCTCTGATTTCTCATGCAGGCTATTTCCCTGTATATCAGGCATAAATAACATACATTAATAAACAATCTTTGTAAGCCAATTTCATCCCACATAGCATACTGTTTGGCTGAAAATTATGGCAAGGATTAGATTAATTTGACTTATAATGGCTCACTGGCAGGCTTCTGTTATTAGTATTATATAAACAGTATCAATGGATAAATCTGTAAGCATTTCTTCAGTTGGCCTGTATATTGTGAACAAAAATACAAATCCCAGCTTCAAAACTTAATGGCTGACCATTTACTATTAAGGCTGGCTTTATTTTTATGAATACGATTTATAATTTGTAATTGAATAATATACATCATATGGGTTGAGATCCTAATTTTTAATTTATTTGGACACTATGAAGTCCTTGTTATAGAGTAGGAAAGTATTAAATTTTACCTATTACAGAAAAAACAGTAATTAAGCCAAATTAATCTCTCGCGCCCTCAAAGTGTAATTATATGGTTGCTGACTACCAACAAAATATGGAATCAAGTCATGATTTCTGTTTAGGAGAATGATGCCTTTTCTGTTACAGCTGTCAGCCATTTTGACAACAGAAGTTCATTCAGTTAAGGCTGGTGGTCAGATCGCATCAAAATTATCAAATTTAATCCTGAATCATTATGACCTTGGCTCAACAACAGTAACTGGAATTCCAATGAAAGAGGAACAGAATGCCAGTTCATCGGCTAACTATGATGTTGAAATATTTCATTCCTCAGCTGCACACACATCTATACTGAAAGGTTTGAAATAAAAATATACAAAACTGAGAATATTAGGAATATCAATAATAAAAAGAACAATTATCCCATAATTATGCAGGTTTCTGCTCATAGGAAAATAGTTTATATATTCCCCTGTCTTTTTAGTGTTTCTGCATCTTATTTTGCTTGTGCCTGTTGTTAATATATCAGAGCTGGAGTTCCGAACTTCTTATTCTTCTGAAGGTTTCATACATGCAGCCAGAAAATTAGATGTTTATGATATAGGGACGTAAATTACCCCAAAAGAGTACATTTTGTAAAGTGTCCCACCTCTTGGCTGGATCTGCTCTGAAACTGCAGCACCAGTTATAAAGTTGATGGTTTAATTCTTCCATTCCCCTGGGGTGTAGCATGTGAAATGTACAGGACCAGCCACATGAATAAGCCTGGTCTTTAGAACCTGTCTGTTTATGAATGACACGCCTCTATTTTGTAAGCTTGAAGTGACACATACTGATACATATTTATATTATTAGGTAATGCAGCAGATTCTGCTTTGATCAGGACACAGCGTGAGGGAGCCGATTACGAGACGGTGACACTTAAATGGTGTACTCCAAGAGGTTGTAGTGCGTCAGAGATGCAGAATTGTATTGCCATGCACCGTATCACTCCTGTTGATGTTAACAGGTACCTTGTACTGCTATGAACCTGTTATAATTTTAATATTACACATTCTTTTCATGTAGAGAAAAATGAAGCATGCAGTAGTTTGTAATGTATGTTTATCTTATGAGCCATTTTCTTTAAAGACTTCTCAAAACATGATTAGAGATAACATGGATGGACAGATGGATGAGATGCATAGATAGATAAATAGAAGGTTGAATGTTAATGTTGTTCTGGGTTGTGACACCGTATTGACTTGTAGGCAGATACCAGAAGCCCTGAAGTTGGAGACAGTATATTTTTTCAAAATGTTGGTATCTACCCAGAAGTCCACACAGTGTCACAACCGAGAACAACAACATTGACATCACCACTGTGAGAACCTAAACATTTCTATTAATTTGGTTATAAAAATGTTGTTTGTTTAAAGTCGCCCATCATCATGCTTGATCAACTTCCTGCTCAACGGTCGGTCAGTAATGTTGGAAATGCCACGTAAGTCTGGTGGCAAGATGATATCCCACCTCCTGGCTGCACATGGCGGTGAGATATTTGTTCACACGCTGGTCACAGCAAGGAGTGTTCTAGAGGATCCACCATCCATTAGTGAGGGCTGTGGCGGTAGAGTTACAGACTACAGGATCACAGTAAGACCACTTATATAATGCTGAAGATGGTTCATTACACTGTTATAACAGCATTCTATAGATTATGGTTACAGAAATGGCCTGTTCCAGTTAGAAGGATTAAAATTGCTCTGTATTTTTATTGGATGTCCGTTGCATATATCTGTCATTCATGACAGAGCAGTTTTGGAATTTGCTTTTCATTATTTCCAAATATTCCAGCAGTTTCCTGTAATAGTTTTGTTACTGATGTGTTGACACCTTTAATTTCCAGTTCTTCTGTAATACAGTATCTTCACTGTCTTCATGACTTGCCATTCCATATCTTACAGCCACTCAGAAGAAACATATTCCATCTAGAAAAACTGTCTGTGAATGTAGTATATCTTCAGTGAGTTAGTCATGATTATCCTACACATAACTATTTTTCTGACTTTCATGTTCCATTTACAAATGAGAGATCAGTATCATACATACAAGTACCAGTGTACTTTTCAGAATACATCTATGTACCAGTTCATATATTTTGCTTTTCCATTCATTCTATTATGAATATATTTGTGGTGTAAGAGTTACTTACACAGCATAAATGCATCCATTTCCCTTGAAACTTCTGTTTATATAATTAAACTGTTCTTTATTCCCTATAAAGGACTTTGGTGTGCTGATGCAAAACAACAAGTTGGTACCTCTAAAGCGCAAGTTTGATAAAACACACACTGAAACACCGCTGAGCAGAATGAGGTCAAGATTAGATCGACATACAAAATACTGGCCTATCACCATATCATCAACTTTCATATTCAACTTAAAAAATGTAAGTCTCTAAGTGAGCTAGGTTTCGCACACTGACCTAATTATGAAATGTAGGCATAATTTGGAGAAGTTCAAATTCTGGAAAATTATTCTGTATGTTTCTATTCTGTGCATTACTTTAATCCGCTGACATCAGCGGCAATGTTTGCCTTGAAAGATAACACAGAATGTATCCTCAAACAGTATGAATGTACATCATTAATAGTAGACAGTGTTTGTCAACACCTCTTTTTATTTTTTCACAGTATATTGACCCTCTTCCAGCACTTCTAGTAAAAGAGGAAATGACTGATGAAGAGGTTGTCAAATGTAAACAGGTCATCTACAGCCTCATTAATTTGGAGACAAAACATGAGCCCCTGCAAACACCAAACATGGGACAAAGAGGGAAAGGACCTAAACGGTGTGTTGAAAACCAGATACCTATTTTGTTTTATATGTTTGGAATTTTAACGTGTTCTTAAAATATTGCACCAGCAGGAACAAATGTACTTAATGTGTACATCATTAAAAGAAACTATAAGTCACAGCTGCTGAGGTTACATTCAGAAAACTAACTGCTAAGAAGTATAGAGAAAGACGGCAAAAGGGAACATTTTGGTAAACTAATTATTGAAACTGAATTGACAGACATTTTGAACTATAGAAACGCATATATTTGCTTTGACGTGGTGGGGGAGGGGGGACATTCTCCAAATTAATTACAAAGTACAAACTGATAGGAACAACAAATTACTGACTGGCACATAATGAAGATATGTAGATGATGTCTGGTCCCTGAATGAGTCAACAAATAACTCAGTTTGAACTCAAGGTGAAAATGAACAAATACATTTTCAGTCGTGACTGATACTCATTGCAAAGTCAGAAACTTCCAAGACTTAGAGACACTTAAACCTTTTTGTTTCTGGCAGGGAGGAGCAGTACCGAATTATGTGGAATGAGCTTGAAACATTCCTGCGTGCCAACTGTCGGACAGATCAGCACAATCGAGTGCTGAATTGTCTGCTGGAGTGTCGGAACAAATCTGATGATGAAAAGAATAAACTGGAAAAGAAGGATGACAAAGTGGAGCTGGACCAGGCACTTCGAGAATTGGACCAGTATGGTTTATATTTATCGTTAACTTTTACAGCTGGCTTACTTTAACCATTTTACAGTTTTGATCATAAAGGGGCTTATTATGTCAAATTTTAACCTTCTCTAGATGACCACTAAGCTCTGCTACGTTATCATGAAACATGCTTTAACAATTTGCATTTGGACCACTGAATATTGATGTATTTACAAGTATATAGATGTCTTCTGGGTTGTAGTGCCATGTAGTCTGGTAGAAGTTCAGTTGCCCTGATGATGGAGGCAGCAAGGACCTCTGTCACACTACATTACTAGACTACAACCCAGAAAACAGCCATGTTCATATTCACAGTTTTACTTTTTTTTAAAATAAATGACAGCCATGTTCATATTTACAGTTTTACTTTTTTAAAATAAATTATGTACAACAATTATATCTTAGCAGTCTGCAAGATGTGGCAGAAGAATGTGTATAACCAACCAGTTTTATAATAGAGGAAATTAAGAAGCACTATACTACCCTAAGTACTGTGAAATCTGTTTACAGTGCAACATCTTTTTTTGTCCATTTCAGTCAGAAAGTCACATGAAAAGTACTAGCTTCATTTCAGTATATGTTCTAAAACATTCAGACTTTTGCTTCACTTTGTTAAAGGTTTGGTAAATTCAGTGAAGCATCTCCAAATGAATACGTGCCCCGGGCCACCGTCATTCGAGCAACGACCGATTCTCCCATGTCACCTCCTCCTATATCCATGACTCCATCCCCTTCTGTTCCTTCCAGGCCCTCTCTACTCCGATCTGGACCCACTGCTGGTGGAAGCATCTATTCTGGACCAAGAACTGTTCTGGACATTTGGGTCAGCCGGACTAGCACGGAACAACGATCCCGTGACATGAGGCAGGAATTTGCTGGGAGACTTAATGGTGATGCTATAGCAGGGGGTGGCAGCATTACCAAACTGTATCCGAATCTCAAGGATTCTGACTGTGGGGGCAGAGAGATGCACATTGATGGGTAGGTCAGATCTGACCTGACCTGACCAGATGTGATGATGCTTGACTGTTGTTTTGCAGTGTATGTGTTATTAAATTTGTCTTGCTAGCAATGCTTTACTAATTTTGTTGCTTCCTGAATTGATGTGTTGTTTTACCTTGCTCCTATTTTGATTTCTCCCTTAATATAGTATTAATATCATGGCTTTAACCAGAAGTTTTCGAATCACATATAGTGTTTTCCTCTAAAGCAGAGATCTATACATTTCAAGTGTGTTTTAATGGCCATGCTTTTTATAAAAGTAGATATTTTCAGAAATAGAGACTAATATTTAATGTGAAGTTCATGTTCATTAGTACCACATCAAATTTCACCTGCCTACCTGCAATATTTTAACAGTCACAGTTATCAGTGAAAAGTGTGCCTCTACAGAAGTTCATGGTGGTAGGAAATTAACCTCTTTCATACAGAAATAGCGGATGTAAATACCCATATTATGAGACTGCCAGATAGTGTTTGATGATTTAATGGTATGCTATCATGATGCACGGCCAGCTGGACAGAGGGTAAGTCATGATGACTGGCTGATAGAAGTTAAAGTAATTAAACTGGAAATGATCTCCAATAGCAGGATGTTATGAGTTTCATAAAAATCTGAGGGGAACATATGCACATTGGTAGCATAAGCCGAATTTTCTGAAATATGCAAAGTATGCTGAAAATAGTTAAAGTGATTTAGTGTGCTTGCTTATACATAGTACAGAATCAGCACTGTTGAAAATTATTAATGTTTTATTACTTACTCCAAGAAAATTGTTCCCACCTTGGATATCAGGTAACTGTCAGCAATACAACAATACATGAGATTTGTTTTGTGAATATGTTTCTATTCAAGGAGCAACCATGGCAAATGTAACTTCAGCCAAATCAGTGATTTCAATCAAAATGTTTTTCTAGCTTCTTATGAAAATTTACTACAAAAATAAATAAATGATAGCATCATATCCCAAATGACCACATGTGACAGGTACAACAAGATTCCTTCCACTCGCTCACAAATTTGTGTATTTCAGAAAGTAATGTTTTACAACCGGCTTGAATAATTCTGCCACAATTTGATCAATATCTATGATTTATACTGTTTCAACTTTTCAATAGCAGTCTCAACCTCAAAAGAACTAGGTTTATAATCAGTTTTGGTTATGTATACTGAATATGTGAGTATACCTTTCCACTCCTGTTAAGTAAAGGTCTGGATTGTTTAGTGCGTTGAAAGTCACAAATAATGTGAAGTTTGGTCGACTAAAATCCACTATTAACCATCGAACACTGATATCAAATTAATATTGACATTAACTAAAATATTCCTAATTGTATGCCAATCAAGTACTGTGGCAATGAGAACCAAGTTGGAGACATGAAGCAACAGACTGAGCCAGACTCATCAGGGGCAGTAATAAATGAATATAGAACATTGGGTGAATGTTAAATGTCAATATTCAAAGAGAACCTTGCCCCAGGCACAATTTTGTCCACATGGATTATGTAGTGAAAATCTATATAGGTCACATGCTTATATTCATTAAATCTGCTTCAGTATTTTATGTTGTCTTCTGGGTTGATACCATGTAGTCTTGTTGATAGTTACCAATGTGAACATATCACTTCCATCCATGGCAACATTTGCAAGACTAACTGTACCACATCCCTGAAGACTAGAATCCACAGATCCTAAACAGTTCTACTTTTATAGCAAGTAATCAGATTTACTTTTTGAAGAATATGATGACAACATTGATATCTTATGAAACATGTACATTTACAGATTTATCAACTTCCAAACCCTTTTCCTTATAATTTTGTGAGGGCATGGTTATTGATGCCAAGCTGAATACTATAAAATGATTTAATAAAAATATGACATAATTGTAAGCTTTTCAACTAACTTCTTTTACTCTAATTCTCTAAAGTTAAACTTATCTACAGAATATGATGCACTGTTACATATGTTATTTATAAACATATGGAAGGAGTAAACAAAATCACAATGGATCAGTGAAAATTGCTGGTTATGGCCAGGATTCAAATCAGGCACTTATCAAATAAGAAGTATAACACTTTGATGTTTTATGGTACAACTTTTTGTTACAGGGAAGGTGCAGATGTGACACCTCAATCGTCTTCATCAAGAGTAAGTATATGAGTTCATACTGTAAATACTTCTCATATGTAAAAATTCTGTTATACAGTGACAATAAAAACTGTCAGAAACTTCAAATTACTCACATAATTACTGTTGCTCCTACATACATTCATTACTGACATACATTTTAAATTTTGATCAGTTTAATTCAAAAGAAGATTTTATATCTGACTAAAGGGCCTAAAAGATTAAAAGTTTAAACCTTAATGAACTTCAAATAAAAAAAACCCTGCTCTTGTTCCTTATTTCATATATTTGTTTTGAGAACCTTGTAGTTGAGATATGACATTGGATGTGTTGGACAGAGTATCTATTCGAGGCAGAAACTACAAAGTTTTCAACTGAGATGGAGATGTTGCTTGCTTGAAATAGAATAGCAATAATTTACTGCGTGAACACAGAGGTAAAAGCTCAGTGATTACCTATAAGCATTGCTGACTCGCATACAAATCTACATTTACTACACACATCAACACTGGATAAACAAAAATGTGATACAAACTTACCATACCATAAAAAGTTCTGGAAGGGACCCTCTTCTGCTTCACAGTGTATGAACTAGCTCTGCAACACACTTTCAAGTTCATCCTCAACAAACAAAACAACTGCATTTGTTTTCTGTTCTAGACAGCCTTGATGTCACAAAGGTTTACTCTGACACGTTTTCCTTTGGGTTCTTCCAGAGATAAATGATCACAATAACTTTAACAGGGAGGCTTTATAAGTACCCAGTCCACTGCTGATGCTTTTTCCTCACACACATCATCCATGGCACTGTAGGCAGTATTTGTTGTACATTATCTTGCTGGTGATACAAATCACTGATCGATTATTTTCGTTGCACATATAACTTGTGGGAAATGGCCCTTTGAAGTATTTACGAATGAACTTCCGGATTTGCGTTTCGTAAATTTTCCTCAACAAGTAGAAGACTGAGCAATCGCTGTTTAATTGTACACCTCACGGAATCAGCAAGAAGACGGAAAAATCAAAGCAAGTTCTTACCAGACCAAAACACAAGTTTGTAGAATGCGCCAATGGTTTATCGAAATGTCGGCAAGTTACGAAGCAATCACGTTCTGCTATCTTTCCCAATCGAACTTTTTATAAGGTACGTGCACGACAAATAGGTTATGAAATGCAATGAACAAGCAAAGCAACAAGACGAAAAAATTCACAGCTTCGATATGGGCATACAATAACATTAACCCTCTGGAAACGAAGTTCGTCTTTAAAGAAATAACCCATAAATACAAAATGCAGCGCAACTGATTGTTGACGCAGGGGAAAACGTATAAAATGGCTACGAACTGCTTTCGGCCATGCAAATCAGGAACGGATTTTCATTAAATCTGGTGCGGAGACTGGAGCAATTTTTAATTTTGCGTAATTGCAACATGAAGGGTGCTCAAAAACGCGCGGTCAGGCGATTATCTTCTGCACATGCGTCATAATGTCGCTGCCCTGATAACTTCAGTCATCTTATCTGTCGTTTATTCTTTAATTCCCACTACTTAATCTCTTTCAGTTGCTTTCCTAATTCGGAAATGGGTTTACCAAATATTTTTATCCAGCAATCGAAACTTAACATATTCTGAAAACTGATACTCTATTATTGTAAAGGCACATATGATCAGTTCAGCTGAAAACATGATACATGGATATAAATTAATAATGTCTTCGGCAACCATACACGAAAAGGTCATAGAATAAACCATTAATAAAATAAAATGCAAGTAAGCTCACTCAAGCTAATAACTTTATTGCATAACACATAATTATCATTTCTTCTGGTACTGATGCTTGAGGTACACAGTGCAGCTTTGTGTGATGAGCACAGTTCCATTTAAAGAAACCAAAACATATCAAGTAAGGATTTTATTATATACCCTAAACACTAGTTTTGTGGGATGGCCGCTTGTCCTAAATAATTGCCCTGAGAATTGATAAAATGATTTACACTTTCAATGATAATGACTGATAATTATTATTACTGTTACTGCTACTATATTATATTATGATTCTGGAATTGTAGACCACAACCTATGATTCTTGAATTCTGAACAACTCTATACAAATCTTATAAAATACTGTTGAAATGTCATATTTTGATTTAAAATTGTTTATAAAACAATACAAATAGCTGAATATTCATCAAAGGGATTCTAGAGATCTGAAAACCTTAAATCATTTGTTAAGAACAGTATGTTATCATTTCCCAAATATTTCTTCACTGGCTTCATCTCTGCGACTGACTGATGAATTCCCCAGAAGATAGAAACGAAAAGGTTTTGATGCCCACTCTCTACCAACTGAATCAATTCCAATTCGGTGTGATGTCACTATATGACACGGGTCCAGTGACTTCTGGTTTGATTCATCTTCCTCTACCCACAATCCATCCCATGCTGTTAAATCTTGCTCGTTACATAATGACTTAGTAATATTGAAACTCATGCATAATTTTGCTGGACCACTGCACAACTCATGGGCCTTCAGTTCTTTTGGTTTTGATGATGTACTCTTTTTTCTTTTCCCTCTCTCTAAATGCATGAATTCTAATCCTTCCAGAGGTTCCAACGCTCGCAACAAAACAGCTGCGCCTGAACCTGCAATATATTAAACGGAATGCCAGTTTTCCTTCATATGAAACTATTAATGTACAGAAAAAAACACATACTTTAAGGGCTCACCACATCTATTTGTCTACATGACTTTCAACAAGAAACCTGAATGTACCTTGCTCATAAAACTGAACTACTTAAAATCCAAAAACTACATGTACCACCTTTTTTAACATATGCATTTTTCCCACAGAACATATATATGGATTTCATACAATTCTCAGAATGAACACTGATTATTCCCTTAAACAGCACTAACCAACTGATCTTTGTAATGAAGGCATGCTATTTTTCTGTGAGGTAGGAACCAAATTTCTAAATATTATTGTTTATTATCAAACATTTTGATGTAATTGTGAGGATGTCCTTACAGCTTAAGTACACAGATGACTATGATATTTTGGCCACCTTTTTCTACTCTGCCTAAATGAAATGAGCTACACTGACCTTGACTAGAAATGTTGAAACAGTGATACATGCCATAAGTTGAATACACAAATGCTGTTCCTGGCTTCATGTACACAGCTTTCATATTTTCTGTGATCCTTCCATTGTGTGAACAAGATCCTTTGTCTTCACCTCCAGGGTAGCATTCTGTCTCTACTATGCAGCCTTTCAGAACTGTTCCATCACTTAGTCTTCTAACAAGAATTTTACCAAGGAGTCCTTTAGCCAGATCTTCACAGGGTACATCAAAGAAACTGTCTGTGAACCTGCCAAGACCATAAGTAGGTGTTCTGCTGCCATTAAGTGATGACTTCAAAATTTCATCAGCATCCAAATCATTCAGCTTCTTTCTTTTGGAAACTTGCTTCTTGTTTGTTTGTTTATTATGTGTTATGTTTCCATCCATAAGAACTGTATTTTTCATAGCAATCCTTTCAGATTTCCTGCAGTGAATCATTTTAGCAATGCCAGATGTACTTTCATTTGAAAAAATCAGTTTGCTCTCAAGTTTTGTTGGAGATATCCAGAAATTTGTAACAGTACTTTTAGCAGAATATGTCAATCCATAAATGAAACCTGGGAAACAAAACATCCGTCAAATTACATTTAATATCAATTTAATAATACAAAACTTGGCACTTACTTAGGGTATTTCTGATGCTCTAGTGGGTACCCATTTATTTTCCAGTTATGAAAAATAAAATACACAGAAGATTGAAAAAATAACATAAATATGTCAATCCAAAGATGTTAAAACATGTATATAAGCCAACTACCATCGACACAACAGATGAATGACTGTTTTCAGTTCGATCATTTTTCACGTTTCTTCTTAGGTTAGGTTTCGCTAGGTATTGCTGTCTTAAACAGTGTGACCACATTTCCTTTTCTCGATCTGTAGTATTTCTACTAGGTTGTCTGGCTATGTCAATACAGACAATTACCTCATCGTAAAACTACAAAGTATAATAAACTTGTATTCAGCAACATGTATATATGTGGACAGCATTATGAACTTGTCACTAAACGATAAACTTGAAACAGTCTTACTTACACCTAGCAACACAGAGAGTTTGCTGCATATAAGTACCTTTAATATTACGCAGTTATCAAAAGATATATTACAGTTTACTCCTTTAATATCACCAAAAATAGTCACAAATAATCTACAAGTGTCGCAGAGAATGTAGATAACCTACATTGCGCAATTTGTGCCACCCCAAACAGCACTATTTACCAACAAAAATGTAATTAATTATGCCTATTCTTAAAATATGTGCATGAAATTTAATTTAAAATAACAAATTTAACCGATCACGCTTAATTTTCAAATTTGGGATCAACTTCCTTATTCTATGGAAGTACAACTCTTGCGCAGGTAGCGCGTAATTTAAAATAGCCCAGTTTTGTAATTCATATACCATATCTTGCCTACGAGTAATTTCCGGAAGATATAGTCAAATTCCCTGTCTCTTATGAAATACAGAGGTCCATTGCAGTGTTCACAAGAGCACGTCAATGGACCCTATCCTGAGCCAAAATTAATCAAGCCCATATTCTCATTCCGTCTTTCTCAAGGAACCATTATTCAGCGTGTAGGCCTGCCATTTAAAGCTCAACGCCCACCATCGGTTTCCATGTTATGCTAAATGTACCCAACCCAAATTACATTTAATATCAATTTAATAATACAAAACTTGGCACTTACTTAGGGTATTTCTGATGCTCTAGTGGGTACCCATTTATTTTCCAGTTATGAAAAATAAAATACACAGAAGATTGAAAAAATAACATAAATATGTCAATCCAAAGATGTTAAAACATGTATATAAGCCAACTACCATCGACACAACAGATGAATGACTGTTTTCAGTTCGATCATTTTTCACGTTTCTTCTTAGGTTAGGTTTCGCTAGGTATTGCTGTCTTAAACAGTGTGACCACATTTCCTTTTCTCGATCTGTAGTATTTCTACTAGGTTGTCTGGCTATGTCAATACAGACAATTACCTCATCGTAAAACTACAAAGTATAATAAACTTGTATTCAGCAACATGTATATATGTGGACAGCATTATGAACTTGTCACTAAACGATAAACTTGAAACAGTCTTACTTACACCTAGCAACACAGAGAGTTTGCTGCATATAAGTACCTTTAATATTACGCAGTTATCAAAAGATATATTACAGTTTACTCCTTTAATATCACCAAAAATAGTCACAAATAATCTACAAGTGTCGCAGAGAATGTAGATAACCTACATTGCGCAATTTGTGCCACCCCAAACAGCACTATTTACCAACAAAAATGTAATTAATTATGCCTATTCTTAAAATATGTGCATGAAATTTAATTTAAAATAACAAATTTAACCGATCACGCTTAATTTTCAAATTTGGGATCAACTTCCTTATTCTATGGAAGTACAACTCTTGCGCAGGTAGCGCGTAATTTAAAATAGCCCAGTTTTGTAATTCATATACCATATCTTGCCTACGAGTAATTTCCGGAAGATATAGTCAAATTCCCTGTCTCTTATGAAATACAGAGGTCCATTGCAGTGTTCACAAGAGCACGTCAATGGACCCTATCCTGAGCCAAAATTAATCAAGCCCATATTCTCATTCCGTCTTTCTCAAGGAACCATTATTCAGCGTGTAGGCCTGCCATTTAAAGCTCAACGCCCACCATCGGTTTCCATGTTATGCTAAATGTACCCAACCCAAATCCCAAAACCCTGTTTCCCTAAGATCCATTTATCTATCTTATTTTATTTAATAAACGTTTAAGTTCAACACACTTTATGCCCTCTTGTCAGTGACCCAGTTTGTTTCGACACGCGTATTTGTAGAAAGATATTATTACAAGAGAAACAATTTAAACTTCCTACAACTTCTGTTGCTCAACGTAAACTCGTGGTTTTCAAGATCTACCGCTGGAATCCGGAAACCCCAGGACTTCACATTTGGTCTGGAAATACGCGGACGAATGGTACTGGACGCTCTAATTAAATTTAAGTGGAATGTGATCTAACGTTATCTTTCGTCGGTCTTGCAGAAAAGGAATTTTGTGGAACTTACGTAATGAATAACGCTGGAATTAACATTGGCTTGTAATTAACCTTCGGGTTTAACAAAAAGAATATAATTCCTTATCAGCTCAGCTCAACAGGAAAGATTCTGCTCCATATTGTTAATTATTTATAACATAGCATTATTATGTGTCTCTTAAACAGAAATAACTAATCCCGTTTTAGAACTAAAAGCTAAATGTATTGAAAATGCTGGAACAATTCGTTTTGCACTTTGATAATAATTTAATGTTTCTGAACTCAAGACCAAGAAAGGCATTTCAAGCGATGTAATTAAGTGCTTTGGTATGATTACTATAACAGACTTTATTATTTACATGCAAATTCCCTTGTTTGTCGTAATTAGCAGAGCCACTCTGAGAGCCTCCAGCCTGCCAGCACCTAGCAACACAGATAATTAACATTAATTACCTCATAATGTGTACCTTAACTAATTAGCTTTACTCCATGTTGTCTAGTACGGCGACAGATACACGTCATAATGTGGGCTCAGATAGTTAATTTACAAGAAACTGTTTACATATTTCTCACAAGAAGAGCTTTAACTCTGGGTTATAGGTAGATGCACCGTACAAAATAACAAAAATCTCGCCTAAAACTGTCTTATTATAAAATACGAACAAAACAGCCCGTTGTTCGCCACGGGATTTCTAAAAATTAAGAATACGAGTAGTAATCGAAATCATTTGTTATGACAAGACTAGCATTCACGTTGACAATAAATACAAGGTTACGAAACTGGCCGATATCAGACATCAGAACCCTGATGATGGAGACAGAGTTGGTTCCCGAAACGTCGGTTTACTACGGTAATCAGTTGACGCGGCTGATTGCCCGAGAAGATTTTATTGGCCGCAGTCATTATTAAACTCATACTTATGGGTGGATATTTTAGTGCATCTCTGAGTTCAAACAGAACCAAAACGTTTCGGAAATTGGATATGTTTTCGTCAACGGATGAAATTGCAAAATTTAATCAGTAGGAATCATTTTTCATATCAGTATGAGGATCGAAAAAGAAAATTGTCGACCTAAATACAACACACACGTGACAAAAGCTTTTATTTTTCCAATCGAAACCCTGTAGTTAAATATTACAAACTGGCAAACAGATTGAGCTGGTTTTGTATAGTTTGGTATGGGAATCACATGTTTTTGTAAATATTTATTACATGGAATTGTAATTCTGATTTATTTTCCTATAAAATATTTTGCTGGCTTATATTGGTACTGTGCTTGTTATAGCATACTGACACAGATGTGTGATCCGCTGATGAATGTGCTGGTTAATTTCACATTTCCTTAATCATAACTGGTAGAGGAACGCCTACAGTTATTCCTGCGTTCATCTGTAAACACACAGTGCGTAAGCAAACATTACAACATTTTCTGCTAGAAGCATTTCACATTGTTTTCCTGATGGTGATTTTAGTTAGCATTATAACATTTCATTTATGTTTCTTTAATCTGTTTACCATATAAGAACAAGAAGATGAGAGTTTGGTTCTCGGACGAATGAGAGGAAATGTACGTCCGTGCTTCTAGTGAGATCGTGTTTAAAATAAATAATACAGTTGCTTGTAAGAGATGTAATGAAATTTTAATATGTATCTCCTGAAGTAATAAAAGAGACAGATAATATGACGTTCAGAATAAAGAGGTACGTATTATTTCAGATGTGGTTTCCTTACTTTCTGTCTTAGGTTCAATAAAGTTTATTTTAACAAACGTCCAGACGAAATAGGGCACTTTCACTGCTTTATAATTTGTTAGGCTTGCTTGTCAACCTGAAGAACAGAAGCGACATTATTAATGGAGCATACACTCCAATAATTACGCCAAATACAAATGTCTGAACTTGCCGTTATTTTGTAAAACAGCAAAGATATTCAACTTTTTTTTGTAATTCATCGAATTATGAAAGATTAATGACAGAAAATGTTCGTTATTCTTCGAAAGTGTCTCTTCGTTCCAGTACATTTCTCCACAACGAAAGCTAATATGACAATTTCCTTTCATATCCTCTCAACTTAAGTCAATACTGCTTCCAAGTCTGAGTCATTCATACTGCAATGACGGTCTCTGGTGTATGATTTGAAGTTTTCACGGTGGTGAGTCTGAAGATGGCTGTCTTCTGGTAGAAGTTTACCTACGTTTCAGAAGTCCTTGCTGTCTCAACCATCACGTTGATCATCGCCCTGATGATGGAGGCAGCAAGGACCTCTGAAACGTCAGTAAACTTCTACCAGAATACACGGCGTAACAACCCAGAAGACAGCAATCTACGGTCTCTGGTGTTTCACACAGTACTGACACAGAGAACAGCTTCAAAATCTCCAATATCACTAACCGAAATAAAGCCAGATTCCCTCTCCCTGTGTCTCTCTTAATAATTGTTGCGGTACAAACCGATATCGAGAAGGTTTCGGTATCCATAGTTACTACAGGAGCTACTGTGTCACAAACACGGTCTGTCGCACATTACACAGAGACCAGACCGCTGAGAGTTTGTCGCTGTCAATTTGTAGGTGTGCAGTTTTTAAAGAACGAGATATAATGTGATAAAGTGTTTTTGTAATGCATGACGTCGGTATAAATCACTAAAACGTTACACATTTCGTGAAGATGAGTGGAATTTTCGTTCCATGTAATCTGGTAGAAATTGGCCAACGCTTCAGAGATACTTACTGCTCCCATCTACAGGGCGGTGAAACGAATGTGATAAAGTAAAGGATATATCATTTAAAACGCAACCCAACAATCACGTACTAGGGTACTAAAGTTAAATCAGAAATAAGTCGTTCGCTTTACAACGCACGAAATTGATCATGTGACCTTTGTGATTTCGTTTTGTATGTAGACACGCCGATGTTGAAGGTTATAAATGCAGTTATTTATAAAAACGCCATTGTAACTTTTGCATGTCAGTGCTACGAGACACGAGAAATGCCT